GTATGTATGCTCACAAAGGGTTTTGTCACCCGGAATATCAAATCCTTTTTTTTTTTTTTGTGTGGGGGGGGGGGGGCGCAACGACTCCTGGGCCACACCCAGCGTTTGTAATAGGCGGCTTTAGCGGTTCTCGAAACAGGGCATCAACAACAAAAAAAAAAGCGGCTAAATCTGCATTCACGCCACTTCAAAAAAAAATGGCTGCAGTTTCAACCCCCCGTTAAAAACTTTGCTCATTTTTGGAACTCGAACAAAGACGTTGGCACCACTTTGTCTTCTCTCGCCTATTTCAAACCAAAAAGGTGACTCAGGAGTCAGGACAGTTTGCCTTTACTTAATTTTTTTGCGAAAAAAAAACAGCCGGCCTGCTGGAGGGAGTGATATGAGCATCCCCCTCTAGTAGATCTGGCGCCGGTTGCTCCGATCTATTGGTGGGGAGCTGCACCTGCTGGAAACCGGGTCCAGTGTCCCAGATATAACATTTTTTACTGTTTCAATTACCGGGGCCATTTTTTACTGTATGCTCTGGTTGAGAGAATACAGTACTTACGGTAAAAAAGCCACTGGTAATGAATGGCCACGCCGCCCCGGTAATTGAAACAGAAGTACTGTATGGGAGGGCTAGCCACCCCCATACTACTGGTGGGCCGCCTGATGACATATGTTTCCCTGGCTGCTTTAACCTCCTGGCCGGCTGCCCGCTGCTGTCCTTTGCAGCACAGCACGTCCTTGTCCGCACGTTGGGAGGGCTAGCCACACCCCCCTACCACTGCGTCTCCACGAGTGGAAGGCCATGTTGTGGAAAGAGATCTGGGAAGTCTGAGGGGTGGACGGATGGGCACCGCCGCATCCACATTCATCCGGTCCTTGAGGATGAGCTTGTAGGCCCTTTGTTTTTGACTCCATTGACAGTGGCTCGACGTCTGGCTGTTGCCTGCCCTCCCATCGAGTGTAGGCTATCCGGCCCCCTGGTTCCCCCCGCAATCAGTCCTCTGGACGATCAAATCTTCAGGGTGGAGTGGGCCTATTATAGGCCTGGAGGAGGATCATGCCAAGCAACCCGCCACCACCCCCTACTGAAACTGAAGTGTTGAAATCAGACATCTTTGAAAATATCTGACTCAAGAATTCTGAACGGATTCCATGGCCAGCTGACACATCAGCACCACCCCCTGTGGCTACAGGGGGGCATTTCGAGAAATGAGGGTTTGTGGGACAAGGATCTTCAGATGCAGAAATTAAATCTGCAAAACAATTACAGGCCAGCCTACGCAGCCTAACCCCCCACCCACTACTTACCACCCCACTTAGCCCAGGCAAGGAAGAGGAGCTCAGTGACACCTTCTTCCCCATCCAGATCCATACATGCTGCTCAAATGGTGCTTGCTTAACACTATTGGCAGTGTTGGCACCCAACAAGAGGAGGGAAGCCGAGGCACTCCCCAGCCGCAATTCAAGAGAATTCGGGAGAAGTCTCCTACTAGAAGTCAGATCTAAAACAAAAAGGCATACAGGCCCCAGAGCTGCACACTCAACACCCACTCCCTCCAAGGCAAAAAGGAATAGGAGAGGGGTAACCTAACTCCTTCGCCTTCGAAAGGAATAAGTCACTCGCCACTATCTGTCTCCGCCGGGCCCAGAATAGGGTGGCCCTTTCTTGTTTAGCGGAAACGAATCGTGCTCCTTTTGATTTACCAGAAGCGGAAGCTGAGTTAGTTGCAGGCTATAACGTAGAATATTCTTCCATGGGTTTTGCTCTTTTTTTTTTAGGGGAGTATGCTAATATGATATTAATGAGTAGTTTATGTACTCTTTTAATAGGGTTAGAATCAACAAACTTAACCCCGGGCCCAGAATACGGTGGGCCCTAAATCTGCCACTAGCCCCCAAGAAGTCAGCACTCCCCACCAAGATACCACCCCCACAGGAAAGGGCTGCCCTCTCAACTCTGGCATCCCTTGCTGAAATTCTGTAAGATTCCAGTAGAATCGCTGAAGGCCACTGCCCCCCAACCCCCAGAGGAAAGAACACCCCCCTGCCCACCGAGAGGGGCCACACTGCTCCTCATCGGCCCCAGTGTCGGACAGACCCCAATGCCGCCCCCACTCCCTAAAATACATACAGTTCCCTCCTAAGGTATGTCTCCACAGAGCAGGCGCTCCCCCCACCCTCCGTCCCACCCCCCTCTCAGTGGAGCAGTGCCCGTTACTTCTCCCCCACTATAACAGCGACCCCTTGCCTCTATCTGGCCCCTCCAGGACCGATACGGATCCCGAAATATCGACTCCGTCCCCAGAATAGAGCCACCCCTCAAACTCTGCCCCTACCCTCTCAAGGGCATACACCCCCCGCCTTGTGTACCCCCCCCCCCCCCCCCCCCCCCCCCCCCCCCCCCCCCCCCCCCCCCCCCCCCCCCCCCCCCCCCCCCCCCTTTTTTCCCCCCCCCCCCCCCCCCCTGAAATGGGGCTCCCTTCCTCCAGGCCAAAACGGCCCAACCCCAAAGAGGAGGATCAACAGCAGTAATCATGGAGCGCGAAGCACATGTGAAGAATAAGTCAATTAATGGCTAATAAAACCACCACCCTAAGAAAACCGATCATGAGTATGAATTGCACGGAGACGTCAACCGAAATTTAAACGAGTAGCAAACCTAAGTATGTGTGTAGTTAAGTAGTTGTCAAATGAAATTGTGGAAGGAGTCCGAAGAACCTCTGTCAGGGATCGTCGCAAGCAACCCACATGCGCCGGAAAGTAGTAAGTAATATTTTTTGACGAGAGCGTCGAGCGACCAGACGTGTCATGCTAAAGGTTTGGAAAACGAGAGTAACCAGGAATTATTTAGTGCAGAGCTAATGACAGAATGGGGAGAGAGAATGAAGAGAGTAATTTGCGAGAGAAACGTGTATTTCCGTCAACACCGACTCAACAAGGAAATCCAATCTGAGTCCTTCGAGACATCCGTTAAAATTGGAACGATACAGAGAAAGAGAAGATTAGCATTAACAAAAAAAAAAAGGGAAATCCAATCTGGAAGAAGAATTTCTAGGATGAAAAAAACCGTGATTATATCGAGAAAGGTTCGTATTAGATTATTAATTTATTAGTGCCCTTTCATTTATAAAATCACTTGCCCTCCCAACAACCTCACCTCCTCTCTTTGTAAAGACCTCACTCACTCGACGCTTGACCGCACAAGACCGCACCAGCTCTTCCACAACATGCCCAACGGGCAAATTGTGAGTTGTCTGGCTGTGGCTCGACTTTTTTTTTTTTTTTTTTTTTTTTTTAAACAGGGCCTTTTGGTCCTGGCTCCTTCTATTCTGGGGAGCGTCAGTCCGGTTCCTATTCCACCGGCAAGTCAAAATATACATTATAGCTTGAAAATTCAAATTCTGTTCCGCTATGTATTTTACATTCGTCGTATTTCACTTTCTTTTTCTTTGTTTCTTTGCTTTTATATCCTCAATTCCATAAGCAATTTGAGGGTGACCCTCAGCCAAAAGCCTTTTTGTATCACTCCAATCCTCTATGTGTGAGGATTGAGCCCTCAAGTAGGGGCCTTGCCATGATGTACATGTTCTGGGCTAAGGCCCCAGCAAGCCTAGTGCCCCGCCCTAAGTGAAGGCGGGCCAGCAAATCAACAAGAGCCCTCTGTGCCAACATTTCACGAAGTGGGGTCTATACAGTTGCAGCACGCCAGTTGGTTGGAGTGCACCGAGTCTCGGATTTCAGCAAATGCTGAAATGCCCAGGGCCTCTGAGTTAGTTAGGCCCTGGGGACTCGAACGTGAGGCCGACAATGCATGCTGGGTAGAGAGGCCGAAAATGCCGAAGGGAAATCGGCCCACTGTCTGAATCTGGCCGCAGGCCTTGATGAAGGAGGCGCAACTGCATTGCCCCGGGGGCCAACTGTATCGAGTTGGCTTCAGCCTCTGGGACCCGGTCACAGGCTGAAGGGAGGCCGCCCACACGCTGCACTGGCATATAGGCAAGCAGCGCGAGGCAGCAGGGATCTTGGCCAATGCTGGCACTTGCGGGCACGCTGTGCGGATGCATGTGTGCTGCGCTGTGCAAGGCAGTGCTGCGCTAAGAGCAAGCAGGCCAGCGCTAGGCGGTAGGGCGCTGCCTGCACGCAGGGCACTGGCGGCCATAGCCGGGCCGGGCGAAGGTGGTACTTCGGAGGTGAAGGGCGCTGTGTGGGTAACAAGGGAGAGTGTGGGGAAGAGGACACGTACCTGGTGGAGATGGAGGTCGGCATTGGTGTTGACATCATCACTCGCTGGTAGTCAAGTTGTCTGGTTGCTTTTCATTGCTGTAGTTGTAGGATAGCTGTAGAGTAGATAGGGCGCCTGGCGCCATTCACAAGAGAGAGCTACATTTGGGTTATGCTGTTGGTGTTGCCCTGTTGGGCATGGACATTGACTCACGATTCTTCTGTATCATTCTCAATTGGATGGTTACTCGGTTCCATGTGCTATCTGCTTTGGCTTTGACTACTTGGACTTCAGTGTGATTTTGCATTCTGGATTTCTGTGCTTCGTCCATACTCATGTTCCTTGCATATGCCTTTTTGTACGCTTTTTCTTTTCCGATTTGTATTTTTCACAGGTCGGCATGGCTGCATTCGGCCAGATGAAAATGAACTTAGCCCCCCGCCGAACATCCGACCTGACAACATAGCAGCATGGAGAAATCTGAATTACTGTACTGAACTTCAGTATTCCATTTCATGTAGGATGTCCCGTGCGTAGCCCTTCAGGACATCGGTCAAAATTGATCGAAATGGAATAATTTAATAATTATCAATAATACATAGAAGGTGCTCCCCACCAAGAGATTGGAGCAACCAGGTGGCCTGCTAGGAGGGGGTGGAAAAAAAAAAAAAAAAAAAAGAAGGTTAGCATGGCCCCTTCCCAAGTTCAATACACAAATTGGGAAGCAAACCAGGCGGTCTGTTGTTTTTTTTTTTTTTTGAAAGGAATGATGCATCCAGGAATAACGCTGTGGAAATTTGGGCGTGAACACGCACCTCGCCTCAAATCTGTTCCTCCGCACCTGGCCTCAAATCTGTTCCTTCTCAGCTGTGCTTCCGGACGACCATCCCATACTAAAAGTCTATATATGACTCTATAACCTTAACCACCACAAGGACCTGTTGGACAAATTTTACCGCACCCAAAGGTCCAAAGGTCTGTCCGATTTTTAACCGACAGCGATAGTTACTGCACCCAAAGGTCTGTCCCTTTTTTTAACCAACAGCGATAGTTTGGCCGAACGACGAGGATGGCAATTGTCAATCTCGCCACATTTCAGGAGGCCCTGCACAAACTCTCCGTCCCCGTCAGATAGAAAATCCAATGGACCTTTGGGTGCAGCCAACGACTGTGTATCAGACCAGGCTGCTCTGATCACCGGTGCTGTTAGTTGATCCAGACACATAATAAGCCTGAGTGCCACACAAGCTCTGCATCCAACGACCAAGATTCTTCTAGATAATCCAGAGTCCAGGGTCGAACACCCGGCATAGGATCTTCCCTTCCAAGCACCCTTTGCAGTCTACAATAGGTATCATACTCTCCACTGTCTCCAGTCCATTTGTACGTACCGACTAACTGTAGTGTCCTGACATTTCTCAACACCGTAAATGGCAAGCAGATTGCCTGCTGATGGCCTGCACTCTTGCAGGGCCTGCCACACCGGGTTACTAGCCACATCCGGCCTCATCCACATCAACCACAGCTGGTCGCAACATGTAGGCAGGTGTCCTCCATTTACTGCCCCAGTTTACTAACTGTAAATGGCAAAATGCCAGTTACTGTCGTTAATGTGGATAAGGTTTCCTCCATTTACTAACTGTAAATGGAAAAATGTGGGCGGGCTACTCGCCTACTGCGATGCGCTCCCCCCAAAGTAAGTACGCAACACTTTCCCTCGAGCTGCAGTCTCTAGAGTCTAAACCTTTCCTACTGCAAAACAGTTACTGCGCTGTAAATGCCAAGTTAGTGCTTAGCAGCTGCAGATCTCAACACTTTGTGCCTCCAGCTGCCAAGCTTCCTGCCAGTAATTACTAATTACTGCCTGCAGATAGTTACTGTGTGTAGGTGTCAATTACTGCCAGTCTTTGCCAGCTACTGCCAGTTACTGCCAGGCACTACCAGCTCTTTGCCAGTTACTGCCAGGTACTACCAGTTCTTGGCAGCTACTGCAGTTACTGCCAGTTACTGCCACTCACTGCCACTGCCAGTGACTGCCAGTGACTGCCAGTGTCTGCCAGTGACTGCCAGTGACTGCCAGTGTCTGCCAGTGACTGCAAGTGACTGCCAGTTACTGTCAGTGACTGTCAGTGACTGTCAGTGACTGTCAGTGACTGCCAGCGACTGCCAGTGACTGCTGCCAGTGACTGCTGCCAGCGACTGCTGCCAGTGACTGCTGCCAGTGACTGCTAGTGCCTGCCAGCTACTGCCAGTGATCCACAGTTACTGCCAATTGCTGCCTGCAGCGGACCATCGACAGCACAGTCGTGGCGGTAGCTGATGCCTGCCAAAATGATGAGGGCAAATTCGTAAATTACCGCAATATGTTGTCTCGGAAAGCGCCGGGGGCTTGTATCTCAGCTCCAGGAGCCAGTTGCTGCTATCATTAGCTTTCTGGAGATCCTCCATACATGTTTGGGGGTGTATCGGCATCGACCTGCTCCCAGTTGCTCCCAACAGGTAAGTTAAAGCCGCCGTTTATCTGCGCACATCTACCGGGTCCGTTTGCAGGCTTTCAATCTGCCAGACTGACTCACAAACCTTCTCATGTCAACGTGCCCTTGCATCACTTTGCAGACTGATACGTCAAACTCCCATCCACTGTTGATCACCAGCTGGGCAGCAGCATGCCAGCCTGGCTCAGCGCCATTCTTCATTCCGCCATCACTGACCGCATGCAACGGAAAGCACAAGTCAACGTCTTTTCTTCTTACCAAGTCAGAGGCACAGAAGTGCGAAGTAAATCACTGGGATGAAGATGTTGTCCAGCTGCAAGGTGCAGGCTTCCATCAGGCCGCTGCAAACTGATGCGAGAGCAACTTTGGCCCACTGCTCCTACATGAATAATAATAACAACAAACCGTCGTCCCACACAGAAATGAGCCGTTTCCAACCACCCATCCACGCCAAGAAAGATGGATCAGATTCATCAGAATCTTAGATTTGTTGAAAGGAACAACAACAACAAAAAAAAAAATCAAAAGGGGAAAGAAACACAAAAGAGGAAAAAACACAAGCAGGATAAGAAGGGGCAAATACAAGGATATAATATTATAGTCCTTTTAAGTTCTTTAACATTATTGTGTATTTAGCAAGATTCGAACTCACGACCTGTTTATCAACAGGTACATCAACTTACATGTGTATGCCATTTAGTCAAGAAACATATGGTGGGAGTTCTGTTATCTATTATTAGGTCATGAAGCAAAGGAAAACGAATTCCGGCAGAGGGACTATGAGACATGCAGCAACCAAGAATAGAAGAGGGGAGTTCCCACCACCATTTCCACACTCGTCCCTCCCACATGCCCTTGAGCATGCCAGTGGCATCGTGTGTGCTTGTGCGTGTAGATACACATGCCCAGAGTGTGTGCTTGAGAGAGAGAGAGAGAGAGAGAGAGAGAGAGAGAGAGAGAGAGAGAGAGAGAGAGAGAGAGAGAGAGAGGTCATGGTCTTTTGTTAACATGGATGGCAATTCTTCGCCTCCGCTCGCAACCATGGTTCGGACATTGTCAGGATGTTTCCCCTCATGTCCAGTTGATGTAGCTCAGTGATTAGAGCACCGGTTGGAAATGCGCATTGTGGTATAAGGTTGCGGGTTCAAAACCCGGCAGCCTTGCGTATGGATACCGGCAGGGCGTTAGATTGACGCACGGCTGGACACACATCCCCTTGGGCTGACGCCTGGTACTATTACAGACACTGCCTGCGCACCACCCAAGGGTAGTCCACGGTGTTGTAGGTTGGTTGTGGGTTTCACAGGGTTTGCTTCGGGTGTTGATCTCGGGAGTTCTGATGTTCTCCCCAGTCTGGCATATCACACGTTCATTCCATTTCCGGTAGTTGCTCATACGGTAGGGTCTTGGATTACATGTTAGAAGGTTAAGGGTTCGAGCTTGGTTTGGTCCTTGGGGGGGGTCCTTGTCCAGCTGGCCCCGTTCTCTCCTCGATACACACACATGATTCACAGAGTACACATAGCTTTCGGGCATACACACATAGCTTGCGAATTATATATCGCCTACAGGTTACATACACAAGTTTCCTCACATGAAACTGTCTACACAGATTCACAGAATATACACAAAAAAAAAACAGGCTGCGGAGCTAGTCACTGGTGGGGTCTTGTGCCTGCAGTAGGTTCAGGTAGGTTGGATAGGGTGCCATTGGGTGCAGTTCCTACTGACATTCGGATAGAACTGTATATATATATATATATATGGGGCCTGTAGTTCGTTGTCTGGGCCTGGCGTCCAAAGTTCCCGTTCGACAAGGTTCGTCCGATTCCACTTCCACCAGGGCTGGGCAATCTATCAGCCCTGGTGCCTATCACTGCTGTTCGGTCCAAGTTGCCTGCCCGTTGGTAGGGCAATGACCCTGAGTGCTGGCCACACTTAGGTAGAATAGTGGGATAGGGGGTGCGCTAGGAGTATTGACGTGAGGAGGGGTTGGGAGGTGGTCTCGTATTCCAGGACACCCGCGGCTCACAGTTCCAGGTGATCACTGTGCACACACTGACTGGCCTCTACAACACCCTGGACTT